TGAACAGGTAAGGAAAGTCCTTAGAAGTCTTCCTCAAGATGAGAGGTGGAGATCCAAGGTCACTTCCCTGCAGGAATCCAACGACTTCACCAAGTTCAACCTTGAACAACTTAATGGATTCCTGCTCACTCATGAACTTCATCTTGGAGCAAACACTGAAAGTTCCAAGAACAAAAGTCTTGCTCTAAAGGCTTACGAATCAAGTGAGTCTGAAGATGATGACATGGAGACAGCCATGCTAGTACGAAGGTTCAGAAGGATGCTGGGAAAGAGAGGAGAGAAGAACAGGAGAGGACAGCCAAGTTCCAGGGAGATTAAATGCTTCGGTTGTGGTTCCAAGGACCATCTCATCAGAGACTGTCCTCAACCTAAGGAGGATGAGAAATCGACGTACAAGGGGAAAGAGCCAAACAAATATTACAAATCATCGTTTTCCAAGGAGGATGTCAGAAAAGCCATGATGGCTGCATGGGGAAATTCTGATTCTGAAGAAGAAGCAGAAAGAGAGTCCTTAGAAGAAACATCCAACTTATGTTTGATGGCCAAAACTGATGATGAAGCTCGTCTGAAGGAACTTGAATCTGAGGTATGGTATGACTATAGACAACTCAAACATTTAAATAAAGAAAATCTTATGGACATTATTCTGGAACTTCAAGATGATTGTAAAGAACTAAACAGGTTGAAGTTCCAAACTGATAAAGCTTTAAAAATTCACTAAGAACATAGTGAATGGGTAGATAATATGAAAACTGACATACAAACTAGATTCTTTGACTTATATGATAAAAATGTCTTTCTAAAATAGCAAGTTGAAAAACTGAAACATGATAATATTCTGTTAAATGTAGAGTTAGCTCAACTGAAACTTGGAATTGACTCCCCTGACTCTGAAGTTCCTATTGCAAGCCAACTTCCAAATTTTGAGAAATTAAAATCTAATTTGGAAGAAGTTAAAATAAAAAATCAAACCTTGGAGGAGGAACTTGCTAGAGCCAGGAAAGGCAAAGAAGTGATTAATAATGGAATTCCATCCTGGATAGCTAATACTCATAAAAGGAATAAAGAAGGATTAGGTTATAAGAAGGAGTCTAGGAGAAACAAGAAATATGTGGATCTACCTAGTCAAAAGCTATGTTACTATTGTGGTAGTACAAGACATCTTAAAGCTGCATGTCCTAAAAGAAATAAAGATACTCTTAAGAATACTGAGCATGCTGAACAGGTATGGTTAAAGAAATCTGAATCTTCTTCCAAAACAGTGGAACCCAAGGAAACCTGGGTTCCAGAAACTAACGCTTAGTTTTCATGCAGGTTCCAGTGAGGGGGAACAACACTTGGTACCTCGACAGTGGTTGTTCTAAGCACATGACTGGAGACAAATCTAAATTTATCTCACTGGATGCCTACTATGGTGGAACTGTGACCTTTGGTGATAATAAGAAAGGTGAAATCATTGCTATAGGTAAAGTAGGAAGGTCAAGTTCCCATGCTATTGAAAATGTCTTTTTAGTCGAGGGTATTTCTCAATTTTGTGATAAAGGTAACTCAGTTAGCTTTACTTCTAATCTTTGTAGAATCATTAACAATGATACTAACAATATCATTCTTGAAGGACCCAGAAAAGATACACATATATTGTGGATCTCAATGAAGTTCCAAGTAGTAGTTTGACTTGTCTTAGTGTCATTGAGAATGATCCCTTATTATGGCACAAACGATTTGGCCATGCTAGTTTTTCTCTGCTTGATAAACTTAGATCAAAAGAACTTGTGGAAGGGCTTCCATCCATCAAGTTCCTAAAAGATAAAGTCTGCAGTGCATGTGTAAGAGGTAAGCAGACACGAATATCTTTCAAATCTATGAATATGGTAAGCACCACAAAACCATTGGAACTTATCCATATGGATTTGTGTGGTCCTGTGAGGATACAAGCAGGAGTGGAAAAAGGTATGTGATGGTTATTGTAGATGATTTTTCCAGATATATCTGGGTTTTCTTTCTTGTAAGCAAGGATGATACGTTTGATCACTTTGTTGCCTTTGTAAAGAAAGAACAGAGAAGAACAGGTCATCAATTGATTCACCTAAGGTCAGATCATGGAATTGAGTTTGAAAACTCAAAATTTGATGAGTTTTGTGATGAAAATGGGATGGACCACAACTTCTCTGCTCCCAGGACTCCACAACAAAATGGAGTAGTTGAATGGAAAAACAGAAGCTTGGAAGACATGGCAAGAACTATGCTAATTTCCAGTGGACTGCCTAGGAACTTCTGTGCAGAAGCAGTGAACACAACATGTTACATATTGAATAGAATTTCTATTAGGGCAATAACCAACAAAACACCTTATGAACTAATTAAAGGAAGAAAACCAAATATTTCTTATCTTAGATCTTTTGGTTGCAGGTGCTTTGTACACAATAATGGAAAGAGAAACTTGGGAAAGTTGATGAAAGAAGTGATGAGGCTGTATTCTTAGGATATGCCTCAAATAGTAAAGCTTACAGAGTTTATAATAAAAGAACAATGTGTGTTGAAGAGTCTGTACATATAATTTTTGATGAAACTGATTTTGTGATTGATGTACAGGATGATGATGATGATTTCGAGATAGGGTTAGTAAGAAGACATGACCCTGATGAGGAATCAACAATATCCATGAAGCAGCAAAACGAGAATCCAGGAGCTGAAAACCTAACTGCAACTGAAACAGAAGTTCCACAAGAGGAACATCCTGAGCCTGAGAATCCAGAACCTGAGAATCAGGAACCACTGAATCAAGAGACAGGAAACAGTGATGCTGAACCTGAAAAGTTGTATCCAATCAAAGACTTTACCCCTAAACGTTGGAAACATCAAAAGTCTCATCCAGTGGATATGGTTATGAGTGATATAACCAAAGGAACTTAGACCAGGTCACAACTAAGGAACTTCTGTGCATTTTTCTCGTTCCTATCTTCTTTGGAACCAAAGAACTGTGATGAAGCCTTACAAGATACAGATTGGATCATAGCCATGCAAGCTGAACTAGGAGAATTCGAGCGAAACAAAGTGTGGCACCTAGTTCCTAGACCGGAACATTAGAAAGTCATAGGTCTAAAGTGGGTGTTCAGAAACAAGCTTGATGAACATGGAATCATAGTAAGAAACAAGGCTAGACTGGTTGTCAAGGGGTACAATCAACAAGAAGGCATAGACTTTGATGAGACATCTGCTCCAGTTGCCAGGTTAGAAGCTATACGCATTCTTATTGCTTTTGCAGCTTTTATGGAAATTAAGTTGTTTCAGATGGATGTCAAATGTGCATTTCTAAATGGTCTATTAAAAGAGGACGTCTATGTGGAACAACCTCCTGGATTTGAAGATCCTGATTTCTCAAATCATGTCTATAAACTTGATAAAGCTCTCTATGGGCTGAAACAAGCACCAAGGGCATGGTATGAGAGGTTGTCCAAGTTCCTGTTAGATAATGATTTTAAAAGAGGTAAAATAGACAAAACTTTATTTTTGAAATCTAAAGGAACTGATATTTTAGTTGTGCAAATATATGTAGATGATATTATTTTTGGTGCAACTAACGAAATTTTGGTGAAGTATTTTGCTGACCTTATGAGTGGTGAGTTCGAGATGAGCATGATGGGTGAGTTAAACTTCCTTCTTGGATTGAAAATTAAGCAAACTGAGAAAGGAATAATGATTCATCAAAAAAAATATGTGAAGGAACTCATAAAGAAATATAAGATGGAAAGTTCCAAAACTATAAGAACACCTATGGGAACTAACACCAGACTGGATGAAGACTTAGCTGGAACTTGCATAGATCAGAAGATGTATAGAGGTATGATAGGTTCCTTATTATATCTAACTGCTAGTAGATCTGATATATCGTTTAGTGTAGGCTTATGTGCAAGGTTCCAAGCGAATCCAAAGGAATCTCATCTCAAGGCAGTTAAAAGGATACTTAGGTACCTTAAAGGAACTGATGATTTATGTCTCTACTATCCAAGGAATGAATCAATTGATTTAGTTGGATACACAGATGCTGACTATGCAGGTGATTTAGTGAACAGAAAGAGCACATCAGGTATGACTCAATTTCTTGGACCATGCTTAGTTTCTTGGGGTTCCAAGAAACAGAATACAGTTGCTTTGTCCACAGCGGAAGCTGAATATGTAGCTGCTGCAGCTTGTTGCTCACAAATGCTGTGGATAAAACAACAAATATGTGATTTTGGTTTAAAATTTGAATGTGTTCCAATTTATTGTGATAATACTAGTGCTATCTGTATATCTAAAGATCCAGTGTAAAATTCTAAGGTTAAGCATATCCATATTAGACACCACTTCTTAAAAGATAATGTGGAAAAAGGCTATATTAAGTTGGAATTCTGTCCTACTGATAATCAAATTGCTGATATTCTAACTAAGCCTTTGAGCAGAGAACGCTTTGAGAACATGAGACTGGAACTTGGGATGATCAAGCTGAATTGATTGCAACTGAAGTTCCTAGATATGGCATTGTCAAGTAACAAGATCAATTAGAAGAATAAAACATCTATCACAAACTTGGTGTGATAAACATAACGGGAATGTCACCGTTGGTAAATTCTTGGAGGTTAGTGCAATTAACACATATTTAAAACTGTACATATTATTCAAAGCAATGTAGACATGTATGTGACATGTTCCTTAAATCTTATTTTTCGAAAATTCTATTTTTCTTTTCAAGAAGATTTATCTTCTGGAATAATCTTTTATTAAATAAAGTGTGGAAAGATAAATTTTTGAATTTTAAAAGTTCCATCCAGATTGATTTTCAAAAATCAGATAAAATTCATTGTTCCTAAACCTATCTCTTCAACTTCTTTACACCGCTTCAAATATTTACCCCCCTTATAAATACTACCCAACCAACTCCACTAACTCACAGTCACATCAATTTAAAACCCTTGAACTCTCTCAACCACAAAATTTCTACAGCTAAACCACAATCAACCATGGCCGAAGAAAACCCTAAGAACCAAGAAGAGCGATCACCTTCAAAAACACCTAGCCCACAACCCATTAACCAAGAAATTCCTTTAGTGCTACTCCAAACCACCTCAGAACCTAAAAATACCAAGCCGAAAGCCCTTGAAGAAACTGCAACTTCCTCTACTGGAAGTTTACCCTCCGTCCTTGATCGAATTGGCTTATGGAAGAAGAGGAAAGCCGAAAAATCGGGAAAATCGCTGGAAGTTCAAATTCTTGAAATCGATATGATGGCGAAAGACGAGGGGCCTGAAGAAGGTAAGGAAAATTCTGAGGGGGAAGAAGATGAGAAAGCACTGGGAAAACAAGCTGAAAGGTATGTTGTAGGCTATAGAATTGATGATGCATGGTGTAGTAAGGTGAATTTCGAATTTCTAGATCTGCTAAAGTTCCAGGGTTGGGATGTTATGTTTACTGTTAAAGCAAAAAATTACTTGTATCCGTTGGCTATAGATGAATTCTGTAAGGAATGTGAATTTGAAGATGGTGTGTGTTATAGCAAAGTTAATGGTGTTGATGTTGAGTTTGATGCTGCTAGACTAGGGTCTATTCTGCAAGTTCCATGTGAGGGATTTGATGTCTATATGAAAGGGGTTGTGACTGTAAAAGTGGCAGGGCACACTAAAACTGAAATCATAAACTATTTGGGTGGTAAAAAGGGTGTTAGTGTAATGAATCACAATGATCTCTCTCCATTGCACAAATTATTGTTTAATTTGGTGAAGAAGTCCTTGGTTCCAAGGACACAAAAGAAAAATGAATTGTGCTATTTAGATATGGCCCTAATCTTTTGCATGTCTAAGAAAATTAAAATCAATTTCCCAGCACTTATGATCCAACACTTAGAGCATTGCATAGAAAAGGAAATAAAGGTTGGATATGCTGCGATTCTTGCTTCTGTGTTTGAAAATTTAGGTGTGCAATTGAGAGATTTTTATGGGCATATGAGGGAGAAAGGAGAAAATGTGATAAATGAAACCACTCTGAGAGGGTTGAGTCTTGCTGTAGTGAGGGGGAAGTGTGTGAGATATGAGGTTGCTCAGAAGAAAAAGGAGAAGGAAGAGGATTCACAGCTGAGAGTTCCTGTTAGGAAGAGCAGAAGGCTCTCTGTTGGAACTCAGGCTAAGACAAGTGTTGTTGATCCTCTGGAGTTAAGCGAAGGTGAAGGAGGAGTTGATGAGCAAGTAGCTGATTTATCTAATAGACTTATGTAGGTTGAAGGACAGCTCCTTGATTTGGCAGGGAAGATGAAGGCAATGGAACGGACTGATGTCACTCAGGCTAAGGAGTTCCATAAAGCAATCTCAAGCCTGGAAGCAAAACTGAAGAAAGCTCAAGATGACAACAAAGCAGATCTTGAGAAAATCTTGAAAGCGCTTGATGCTTGATCACCTCTGCAGCTTACCCTAGCCATTCCCTAGCTTAATATATTTCCTGTTGGTTTGTGGAACAATGCTCTGTTTTTCATGGATGTTTTTGAAATTTATTTGCTTTTGAATATTTTGGAACTTGGTCTGTAATATTTTTAAGTACTCTGGATGGTTGGTTTTGTTATATGCTATGGAAATTTGTCTATACTTGCATGCATTGTTGAGAATAAACAGGTGAAAGTACTAGCTTAAGAGAGCTAGCCAGCGCTGCTTCCAGCTTCCCACATTCGATGAATTGCCTGTGGGGCTGTGAGTAGATGAATAAAACTCTGAAAAGTCACGTTTTTGATAATGCCAAAAGGGGGAAAAGCAGGAGCAAACTTGAAAGCTGAAGTTGTTCTAATTCCAGTTGAGTAAGTAACAAAGGTTGTTCTCTTCTCTAAATTTTTCTTTGCTTTCTGTTTGTTTTTCATTTTCTTTTCATTATGTTATTTATTTCTGTTTTGTTTCTTTGCTTTTCTTATATGAAAAAAGAAAAAATTGAAAAATGAAAAATTAACCTTCTGTTTCTTTACTTATCATCCTCAGAAGTTTGCTCAGTTTGTCATCATCAAAAGGGGGGAAATTGTTGACCCTTATGAGGTTTTGATGATGATTTTAAGACTTGAGCAATTTCCTTTTAATAAGGATTTTCTAGTGTTGTGATGTTGGCAGGTTTAGTAAGCGTAGAGGGCTGAAGTAGGAACTGGAACAAAGGAACTTTAGAAGATCCATGAGGACAAGTAAATAACATAAGAAGAGTTCCAGCAATGGAACTTCCCGAAGTTTCTCAACGGGAACTTCAAACGGGTTGTAACGACCTGGTTCTGGTGTAATGCTGGGGCAAGCCTCAACAATCAAGGATCAACACAAAAATCAAGATATCAACCGAAGAAGATGAACTTCATAACTTATAGTTGTGTAAAAGATAAGTTTGTTTTCGTAGGATGATGTAAACATATAAATGATAGATATGCATGGAACCTATTAGAAATCAAATAAAGCTTGGCAAACAAATTAATTCGTAAAAGATAATTATAAGTTTTATGAAAAAGTACTTAATTGATTTTATCTTATAAAATCTGGTTTAACTTAGTTTTATCTTTTTCATAAAATTCTATCTTTTAACAAAAACGAATTTGATAAAATTTGGTTTTTATAAAAATGAAATTAAATCCGTTTGATTTCGGTTTTAAGGAAGATAAGATCAGATTTCTGTTTGATCTATCTTGTTTGCGAAAACCCTAGTTTGAGAAGCTGAGAAACTCCTATAAATATAGAAGTATTTCAGCTTAGCAAAATGAGAGTTTTAAGCGTGAAAACAACTTAGTGCTTAAGAGTAAGTTTGCCAAAGGTTTAAGCTTTATCATTTTGATTTCGGGTTTCATGTGTAGCTTTCCATTTATGTGTTAGAGTGTGTCTTTGAGTTGTAATTGGTTTTGGGGTGAGATTGTGGATTCTCTTAAATTCACACAAGTGTATGATTTTGAATTCTCTAAAATTCGAGTGGTAGCTGTGAGTGCACAGTGAGTGAAAGGAACCTGAGAAGTGTCTTGGGTCGCCTAGGAAGTGTCCTGGGTAAAGGGGAGAAAAAGGGTCCTGAGAAGTGTCTTAGGTCTGGTAGGAAGTGTCCTATCATAGAGCCAAGTGTCCGTGGTGGAACTTGCAAAGCAAAGGTCTGTGTAATAGGTTGTACTAGGATAGTTGCCTATTATAGTGGAATTTATTTATAAGTCCCAATAGGGTCGAGGTTTTACTTCCAGTTAGGCACTGGATGGTTTCCTCGTAAAACTTGTTGTGTGCTTTATGTTTTCTTTTTGTTTTAATTGCTTATTTTAGCTTAAGTTCCACGATTGGAACCTACTACTATTCACCCCCCCTCACGTAGTAGTTCATCTAAACTAACATTTTTCTACCTGTAATAAAATTGGAGAGCCTCGAAGAGGTGCTTTTGGATTTCTTTTAGACTTAGCATAGTCTCTCCAACAATTAATGGCATTGGATTTCTCCATGATTCAATTTGTTCTATTATAGATATTATAATTGCTTGGCCCTCATCATTTTTACCACTGGTAAGAAGATATTGGCTAAGAATGCAATAGAGGAAAGCTCTTCTCCTATAAACATGAAAAGATTTAGAGTGTGGTCCTTCAAAGTAAAAACGTGCAAATTCTTTTAAGTCAACATTGTTACCATGCACTATGTTTTTTAGATCTTTACCCCTAAGATCAAGAAAACTCTCATAATCTTTATAATAATACTCGCTAACCCTATGCATTACCGCAAGATTTAATGAAGGAAAGCCTAGAATGGCACCAAATTCTTCCGGTAAAGGGCATATTTCATCAAAGCCTAATCTAAAACAATGAGTATTAGAATCCCAATATTCTAAGGCGGTATGAATAAAGTCTATGTCAAGATCTACCCCCTTTATGCCATAAATACCCCCCATATGGAAAAAGTCAAGTTCTTTTCTCTCTTTAGTGGTTAAAGAACGACACCACTCACGTGTGAAATCACAAAAGCTTTTCTTAATTAAAGACATGATTAATTGTTAATTTAATTAATTTTTAATCTGTTCGAATTATACAGAAACCGTCAAATTTGGGGGCTATTTATAAACAAATTTTCGCCAGAATTCGAATCCTGAAGGAATTCGGAAAATTAAGTCTGTCGCCAGACGACAATCTTGTTGCGTGGTGTAGACACCCATTTGTGTTTCCCCAAAACCAAACCCAGTGATGAATAACCTTTCACGTCGAACCATAATCGAATGAGGTGAAAGTGTGAAAAGTCTAGTGATGCGGTAGTTTTTTTTATTAAAATCCTTCTTTCTGTTTTCGAAAACCAACTCTATTTTATTAAAAATATCCAATCTAGTTTAGTTTGGTCTGTAATAAGGGTCCAATAATAGTGTAGTTGGATGGGGCTCGCAAAGACCTTTTCAACGATACATTATAAGCCCAATTTCGATGAATATTGAGGAAGTTATGGCCAAAATACTAAACTGGACCCGGTTTGTTACATACGGCAGGGCCCAATGTTAATTATTATTCCTAAAATTATTAGTATTAATTATAATTTTCTAGAATTCTCTAGAAGGTTCTTTTAAATTATAATAGAGTTAGGATTAATAATTATATTAAGATGGATTTTTATTTGGAATAAAATATTATTATTTTATTATTATATTATTATTTTAATTATACAATTTCAGCTTCTGTACGGATTCCGTAGATCTAATTTGGTTAAAGATCAGATTCCGCGTGGAAAGCGCGTGAAAGCTCGGCTGTCGCCAAACGACAAGTCTGTCGCCTGGCTACAGACCTTGTCGCCTCGTGATAGAGTGTATTTCTGGCGACAACGTATAGTTTTATTCCTTATAAAATTCTATGCTTTTCCGGACTATTTTTCTTATAAATAGGGTCCTGGACCTCCGTTTTTATTCATCAACAATCAATTCACAATCACCCAATTCTCTCTATTCTCTCTTGAGCAATACATGCTTTCTTTCTCTCTCTTTCTAAACTAGCTTTTTGTAAACACAATACCGCATACACAAGACTTAGAAACATCTAGCCAAATTCGAAGTTGCCTTCGCCCTAGATGTGCAAGGTTTATAAGAAGATAATGTCAAGTCAAGAAGAACTCAATGAGGTTAAGGGACAGGTGGCTAACCTGGCTGAGATGTTGAAGGGTCTAACTCTTCAAATTAATGACCCTGCAAGACAACAAGAAATGGAGCTCATTCAGGAAAGTTTGAGCAAACTATCTAATGACTATAGATTCCAGAGGATTAGCTCGCAAGGGGTCTCGGTGGACAAAGACCTTCTTCCGCAAAAGTTCAATGCCAATGAAATCCCGAAATTCAAGCCAATGGATAACCCTTATTTTCATTTAAGAGAATTTGAAGCTGTAATGAACATTAAGGGAATAGATAAGAAAGCTTTTCATTCTGTGTTTTCTTTATCTTTAGAAACTGTGAGTCAACAATGGTACTTTTCTCTTGACAAAGAGAAAACCTCTAGTTGGGAGTCTATTATGAATGCTTTCATTGATAGATACAAGTGCAATGTTTAAGTTGAAACCGATCATAGGGAACTTAAAATATGATAGGCCGTTGTCGAGCCTACCAAAGATAAAGTCCTATCTTGGTCTCACTAGCTAATAGAAAGGGTAAGAAAGGGTCGAACCCAAGAGAGGCATTGAATCAACCACCGAAATACTACCGCATAAATAAGCTAAATGAAGTCGAAATTGATTTGGTTTTATGTAACAAGTGCTAGTTCAAGTCAACTAAAGCTAGGGGGAGAATAACAATATTTAGAGGATTCTAGGGCTCGGGTTATACCACTCAACTTCATCACATATCACGATTAGCATGCATAAACAAGGTAAAATGAGGGGTAAAATAGGGGAAATCATCTAAAGCACCCAACTACTCTCTCAAGCTAGAGGGATTACTTGAATCATGAATACAACCTACTCTCATGGTTACAAAGCATAAAACAAGTGTTAAAGCATAATCACGATGACATAAACATTCCCTTGACTAGAAATTCCTATTCTCATGGCATTTCAAGTCAATCAAGCATAAGGGAGCTAACTCAGGTTCATTTCTCGATCTTTCATTAAGAAAGCTTGGATAATAGTTCTAGCAATGGCCATATACAAGAACTAAGCAATTAAACCACTAAAGCTCAACTAATTAACCCCCAACAAATACCAAATTAGCACATGCAACAAATAATTAGTGACTACATTAAGGGTTTTACCGAAACCCTAGAAAATTAGACTACTCACAATCCATGGAGATTAAAGAAATTAAAAACTTCAAGTAATTCATGAACAAGATTCAACTAAGGATTAAGTTAATTAACAATCTAAGCATACAAGAATTAAACAAGAAAATTAACAATCAAAGCAATTGAAATGGAAAAGAAGAGTGAGAAAAACATTACTAGAAGCTTGAACTTGAA